GCAGGTCCCTGTGACGGATGTGTCTGCCGAGCTGAAGGTGGGGGCCCTGCCCCTCCTCTGTGCCACTGCGAGTCTGAACACCACACACGTCCCTTACCAGGTCTGCTCTAAGTCAAGGCCCCCTTAAAACTCGCTTTGCTGCTTTTCCCCAGGCGGTACCACAGCGTGAAAGTGGACACGCTGAGCTGGCCCTCAGCGGCCCAGTCCAGCCTCCCGCCAGTGTCCTCGGAAACCTCTCTTGACCCTCCTTGTGGCTGAAGTCCAGGCTTCACGACAGGTCCCCTGAGTTGAAGAGGAGAATCGAGGGAGGGCCCAGCACCTTTCTGCTGTTTTCGACGCATCCCTGTCGAAGTGTGGCTCCCTGCCCAGGCACGAGATGAGGGGCATCAGAGCCAGCGCTGGAGGCCTGAGCAGCAGCCCAGCGTCCAGGGCACATTGCTATGGGAGTCAAGACACGGCTGCAGCAATGGCCTCCTGCTCACGGCCCCACAGCTCTGGGGCTGAGTTCTTGAACTCTGCAGGTCTGATGCGTTCTGATCTCCACCTCCTTGGCTCTGGCGTGGTGGCAGTGCCAACCAGATCAGTGGGCGGGCTCTGGAGTCACTGCCTATGGTGCCTAGGGTAAGGTGCTTTTCCCACCTGGGCCTCTGTAGTTCCAACTTCACTGCATCTGAGACTGGCTACATCCTTCATCTTCTAATAACGCTGCAGGCACTTGTCGTGACGCCTACAAGAGGTACAGGCGTGTGTGTCCTCAGCCCCTCTTCCCTCAGAACCACACTCCTAGGGGCCCCCAAAGCCCCAGGGGCCAGCATAGCTGAGTGACCAGGGTTGATGATATTTTCTCTTGAGACTGGAATTCCGTGCAGCACCAGTGAGCTGAGTGAGGGGGGCTGGCGCTGTCATGCATCAGTCTGGGGCCAGGGGAGGCCACGGTCTGCTGTACGGACCATGAATTTGAGAAAGCCAGCCCGCAGCCAAGGGACGGGACGAGACAGGCACATGCGGAGAAATGAGGAGCGAGGAAGAGTCTGGACACCCGCTGAGGCCCCGAGCCAGCCCCGGGGGAGGCCAGCTGTGTCACTGTGTCCTTGGGATCCCTAACACACCCCGCATCCTGATTTTAAAAAATGTTCCCCTTCAGCTCAAGAGAGCTGCGTGGGCTCATGCTGCTGGCAGGTGAAGGGCCTTTAGGACCCAGCTCACGCCCAGTGCGTGGTGGGTCCTGGGCCTCTTCACCTCCGACCCCTCTGCTTGCGCACTGAGCTGGCCTGGCTGCGGGAGCATCACGGAGTGGACTCCAGGGCAGGTGGCCCAGACATCTGGCTCTGTCTAGTTGAGACTGTCCCTTGGGCAAGTCCCTGCCCCTCTTTGGGCCTCAGTTTCCCACTCTGGAATGTAGGAAGCCTGGTCTAAAAATTTCCAAGATCCGCCCTGGCCAGGTAGTTCAGTTGGTTAGAGCATCACCCCAATGTGCCAGGGTTGTGGGTGCAATCCCTGGTCAGGGCACATACGAGAATCACCCAAGAATGCATGAACAAGTGGAACAACAAATCAATGTGTCTGTCTCTCTCTCTCTCCCTTTCTCTAAAGTAATTTTTTTTATTTTTTAATTTTTATTTTTTTAGAGAGGGAAGGAAGGGAGAAAGAGAGAGAGAGAAACATCAATGCACGGTTGCTGGGGGCCATGGCCTGCAACCCTGGCATGTGCCCTGACTGGGAATCGAACCTGCGATGCCTGGGTCACAGCCTGCGCTCAATCCACTGAGCTACGCCAGCCAGGGCTCTCTAAAATAAATTTTTAAAAAAGTTCCAAGATCCCTTTTAATCCTAGTCTTCAGAGACTATTTGTTGCCAACCATGAGGAACTCAGAGGAAAATGGCTTTCATTTAGATTTTTAAAAAAATTGAGCCTTTCTCTGCCATGCCCTATTAGCTGTTTTAATAAACCACTCATATCCAGAAGTGGAAATAATCCAAATTTCTATCAACTGATGAATAAATATAGTATTATGCAGCAATACCAAAGCACCAAAGCATGAAGCACTGCTACACGCTACGACACGGATGAGCCTTGCAAACCCCACGCTAAGCAGCAGCAGCCGATCACAAAAGGCTGTGGGCCGGCTGACTCCGTGTGTATGAAATGTCCAGGACAGATACGTCCAGACAGACAGGAAGCAAAGTCGTGGCTGCCAGGAGCAGGGGTTGGGGGGTTGGGGGTAAGGTAATTGCTCATGGGTTAGAGGGATTCTTTCGGGGGTGGGGAAAGTGTTCTAAAATTGACTGTGCTGATGGCTACACAACTTTGGGAACACCCCACTTTGTGAACCCCCCTCAGTTGCACACCCTGAAGGTGCGGCTTCATGGTAAGTGAACCGTATCTCAACAAAGCCGTTACATTCAACAATAAAACCTCGCAGTCGGTGTGTCTTGTCATTGGGCTGTGAAGTAGACACTTCAGAGCGCCACAGTGAATGGTTCACAAGGGCGAGTCCCTGAAACCCTGACCTTGGCTTAGGAGACACTCTACCAAACATGCCGTTTCTCTGATGGCCCCCGAGACGGAGGCAAGACCAGGGTCATTTCCGCCATGGAGGCTGAGTGTCTCCGGGGGCCTGGCGCCGGGTCCGGAATGGCACACACGTACGTGGGCCCACAGCACCTGCAGTTTCTCCCGTCTCGGCCCCCGCCCCACCCCCTCGGGTTGGGGGGCTCAGAGGAAAGACCGGGCATGTGGGGTTTTCTGGGGTTCCATTTATGCAGTGCCCCCTAACTGGGTTTGGAGACACAGAACTGACCTTTCTCGCCCCAGGCAGCTGCTCTGGGGAGCTGAGGAAGATGGGGCGGGGGGGGGGGGAGAATAAGCCCTGAAAGCTCCAGAAATCCTCAGATCGCCCGGGCTGAGCTTTACTACAATGAAGGGAGAGAAGATTTAGGGTGCCACCCAAGGCCTGATGGGAGCACGTTAGGTCCCAAGGGCCCATAATTTGACTCAGCTCCACACAGCTGACCCAACGCAGATACAGGTCCTGGGCACCTTGTGTACAAGCCACGGCACAGACAAGCACTTCCTGGTGGGCTTCCGAGGGAAGGAGCCGAAGGCGCCCGTTGGTTGGGGACAGTGTTGCCCCCAGGCGTGCCTGGGGTCAGAAGGTCAGTGCACAAACCCCAGCTGCCCCTTCCTCCTGTGTGGTCCTGGGCAACTAAGCCTCCCTGTGCCTGAGTCTCTCCAGCTGGGAAACGGGGAAATAATAATAGTGCCCACCTTCCAGGGTGTCGTGAGAAGTCAGTGAGTTGATGTTCACCTGTAAAGCGCCCTGCCTGCTCCGTAGTCAGTTCACAGTAAGTTTTACCTCCTGTCACTCACTGTTCAAGAACCTCCAGGGGCCTGAACTTCAGTAAAATACACCTTTACCCCAGGTTCTCCAGGGAGGTGGGCTGAGCTGCGCCGTAGGTCCAGGGTTCACATGTATGGCTAAGGCCAATCGTGCCCTGTGTGACCACTAAGGCCATTGGCCCCGTGACTTCCCTGAGGCCTGTGGTCTGGGACTCTGCTCCCGTCTGGACCGGTCCCTGACGGCGTTCACAGCTCGGAAGCTCAGGGTGGAAGAGAGGCTGCCCACGTGACGGCTGTGTGACTCGGGAAGTCTCACCGCCTCCCCAGCCTCAGTTTCCCTCTGTGAAACGCAGATAAAAGAGACTGCCCGCCTCGCAAGGCAGCGGTGACGCTGAAAGGAAAGTGCACCGAGAAGCAGCAGGCACAAAACTCCGTCCGTTCCCACCCCTGCTTCTCCTGTCCCAGAGGGGAAGAGGAGGAGGAAGTGACTTGGTGTTTCCAAGGGCAACACCTGGAAACGCATCCGCAGGGACACAAAGGGAGTTTTCAGCAGGGACAAACTCGGGCCAGCTCTTGGCTCTGTTGTGAGCCGAGCCAGGGGAATGCCCGGTGGCCTCTGGCTCGAGGAGGACGGTGGGCCAACCACAACAGGAAGTCCTGGCCACCGGGAAGGGCAGAGGTCCCTGCACGGGGACACAGGGGTGCGGAGCCCCTGGGGCTGCCTGGTCCCAGCCTGTGCAAGCCAGCAGCATCCCCACAGGCAGGTCCCCTCTGGGAGCTGGATCTCATTCCTGCTCCTTGGAGGAGGCCGGACACCGGGGCAAGGGGAGAGGGAGGGTGGAGTCCATGCCCCGCAACCCCACCAAACTCAACTCGGAGGAAGTGGAGATGAGTGGTCCTCACCCGTGGCCAGCTCACTACACAGAACAATGACTGCCAAGGGCACACCCCTTCACAGGTGTCCTGCAGAGCCCTGGGCGGCGAGCAGCTGCAGGGCCAGGACTCAGATGAGGTGGCTAGCGGAGGGCGGTGGCCACGGCCCCATCAGGCCTCAACGCTGTAAACTGGGGGCTCTGCGCCCACCTCCTGCGGAGCTCACAGAGCGGCAGCTCCTCCTCGGGCCCAACCTGGGCAAGCGCGGCCAGTTCCTGGACCACGCTGTAGCCACATGGGGCCCTTCCCAGCATCTGGCGGCCAAGACTCAGATCCCCTCAACCTTCTGGCCAGCAAAGAGCGGCTCTTGGGGGGCCAAACCCCTATGTGGGGCCCCTCTGTGACCTCAGTGAGGAGACGGATGTCATTTGCTGGGTCTGCCCTCCCCGGGAAAGGCGGCTGCAGGTGCTGCTGACAGGAGCAGCATTGGTAACCTGGCGGGGTCCCGGGTACACCCAGAGAAGGTTTGAAAATGCCTATTCCCAGGCCCCGCGCCAGGCTCTGGGTTTTGGTTTAGGAACCCGGTCCTGGATGTGGGGCAGAGCCCCCGGGCAGCTGTGATCGGCATGTCCCGGAGACTCTCATCCAGAGACTCCGAGGGAGCCCTGGGACCCCAAACAGAGCCTCTGTTTTCAAGGTGAAGCAGAATGGCAGGGCTGGGGGCAGGCATGTCCTGATGGAACCCTGGGCCAGCACAGCCTGAGGGCCCTGCACCTCCAGAACTCACCAGGCATGGAGAAGGGGGACAGGAAGGCAGTCTCGACGGGCTCCGGCTCTGGGGGAGGCGGCGGGGGTGGGGGCTGCTGTTCCTGCTCCCGCTGAGGGTCGCCGTCTGGGTTTTCCAGGGGAATGTTCCCGTTTTTGATGTTTTCGGGCCTCCCGTTTTGGAGCGGCTTTCTGCCGACCCCGTTCGCTGAGTTGATCAGCCTCTGCCTCTGTGTGGACAGGGGGCAAGACAGACAACCAGAAGTGTGACCGTATTACCATGCTCCTTGACACGCACCCAGCCCTCAGGTTTCCAGAACACACGCCCAGAGGTCGGTTTGCCTGTGAATGACCCGAGGACCTTGGCATTCATCTACGTTTGTCAGCTCCTTTGGGGCCGAGACCAGCAAGCCCTTGGGGGACGGTCAGAGGCCTGGCCGCCCGGCCCGTGACACTGGATGACAGCGGTCATTCCGGCCTTCCCTGCGGACGTTCCCAAGCCACCTGAAGATACTCACAGGAGAGGCCTTGCATGTTTTAAACTAAAAATTATTTAAGTGTACCATATAAAACTGCACTTACACTAAGTATATAGCTCAGCGATGTTTTATATCAAGATGCAGAACATTTCTAGCCCCTCATAAGACTCCCTCAGGCACTTTCCTTAGTCTGTGTGTCCCCTTTCCCCAAAGCCAAGCAAAGTAACCACTACTCTGACTTTTAGAAACATAAATTAGTGTTTCCTGAACTTGACCTTCATATACGTGCATTCAAATTGCATGTACTGCTTGAAGTCTGGCTTCTTTCACTGAATCTAATGTCCATGAGAGCCATCCATATTGTCGCATAACTCAGCAGTCTGTTGCTTTTCGTGGCTGTATAGTATTCCCCCCGTAGAAATAACCTGCGGTGTATCGTTCGCCTGCTGATGGGCATTTGGGGTGTTTCCCTATTTTGGTTATTATGAAGAACGCTGCTGTGAACTTCTGTGTATGTGCCTTTAAGTGGACAGAGCACTCATTTCTCTCTATTTAAATGTGGAATTAGTAGGTCATAAGGTCGGTACATGTTGAACCATTTTACACTTGTACCAGCCAGGGGTCGAGTTTCAGTTGCTTCCCATCCTTGTCAACACTTGATATTGTCAGTCCTTTTGATTTAAGCCAGTCTGGTGGGTAGGTGGTGGCACCTGATCACGGTTTGAATGTGCTTTTCCCTGACGACTAATGATGTCAAGCATCTTACTGGGTTACCAGCCATGTGGATAGCCTCTGCTGGCCAGGCCCTCTGCCATGTCCAGCGCACTTGCTCTCGGCCAACCCGCCCCTTCCTCCCACCAGCTCACACTAGCTACGGACGAAGGCTGGCCCTTTCCACCCGAGCAGACGTTAATCTTCCTCACCAAGCCTGGGGGTTTCTGCGAAACCAGGGAACGGCAGAGGCCGTATTTCCAGAAACCAACAGGCTCCCACTTTCCCAAGAATCTGCCTGCCTTTGCACAGCTCACCTCATCTGGCTCCCCTACACTACATCTACGCATCAGCCTTAGGCTCCGTGAGTACCGATCGTCACACAATGGACACAGACAACCCCCTCCCCCCAAGGACTTCAGCAGGACACCAGGAGTCGGTGAACGTGTCCCAGGCGACACTCTGTAACGGAGTGCCCCACACCTAGCCTCGTGTTCATTGGAAGTAAGAAAAGGGTTGTTATTACTTAAAGTGGAAGGCACGAGGGAGAACCACTCGGTCTTTAGCAGAGTGGGGACTCCCGAGGCCCTGGGAGGGAGAACCATACGGCTTTGCCAGAGTGGGGACCCCTGTAGCTTTAGAAGGGGGAACCACTACCCGGCTTTAGCAGAGATCCTGGAGACACAGCTGATGGTGCCGGGAACCAAGGGAGGCCTACCAGCCAAGATGGATTACTGGGAAGAACTGGGGGCTGCCTGAGCCACGGACTTCTATTTCTTTTCCTGAGATACAGTACCCCAGACTGAGCAAAGGGGGCAGGAAGGATTGTGTGTGTTTGTGGGTGTTTTAAGGGACTTTGGGATTTTGATGAAGACATTAGGTCACTAACTTTAAGTTCGTACAGCATGAAATAAACATTTCCTTTCCTTCTCATGAAAAATAAATAAATAAATAAAGTGGAAGCACGTTATTCCTTTACAAAGAAGAGGAACTGACCACTTCACTGTCTTCATGTCAGTTTTAGGTGGGGACTCCTACACCGTGAAGTCTAGGGTGGAAATCCAAAATATTTCCCCCATACTTACCCCACCAAAAAGAGCAAAGTGGTCTATGCCTGAGACTCTGACGTGGAGGCATGGTGCTCTGCTCCCCACGTGGGGTCAAATAACAGGTCACCCTCGCAGAAAAGGAAAACAACCAGCTGTGCACAGACAGGACTGCAATGTTGGGGACAAGACTCAATAGCACCACGGATGGTAGCAAGGGGGACGGGTCATAACTCTAACTTCATAGGAACAAAGAGAAAGTTGTATCTGAACAAATGTCTAAAGCTATATGAGGCTGTATCAGGAGAGGCCTAGATCACAACGCAAAGGAGGTGCTGGGCCCACGTGCCGAGAGAGACAGCCCGGAAGGTTCCCACGGGGGAGTAACTAGGCGGAGAGGACCGGGGCCCTGTCGTGCCAGGACCCTGTCGTGCCAGGACCCTGTCGTGCCAGGAAGGTGGGAGGTTCCGAGGATGTTTAGGTTCAAGGAGGAGATCAGGGGTGGCAACTGCTGCCTGGTGTTCTGCGGGCTGCCCCGTGGACAAGGCAACATAACGACCAGCTGGAGCAGGGGCTGGCTGTTGCAGAGGGAGCAGCGATACAGAAGGAGGGGCGCAGCGGAAGTGGGGTGGACTGCCCCCTAGGAATCCGTGCCGTCTAGGCTCAGATTTGGGTCAGAACCCCTCTTCTGCCCCCGTGTTTCAGCTCTCTCGTAGATCAACAGGAAGCACCATCCTCTCCCCCGGAAAGTCATCAAGAGGGTTCACGCTATAACACAGGTAAAACGCCCAGCACCTGCCTAGCGCACAGCAGGTGCTCAGAAAACGACAGCTGCTTGTACCAGCTCACAAGGACCGGCATCCAGGTGCGAGCCAAGGAGAAGCGCAGTGTGGGGAGGAGCAGGCGGGAGACCGGGTGAGACGGTCCCCAAGGAGGGAGAGTGACTGGGGGCGGGGGAGGGGGGGACGGACTGCTGGTCGCCTGGACAGTTCACTGCTGTGGCTGGGGGTGAGGACGCTCAAGTCGGGTGGGATGCAACCCTGGAGCGAAGGACAAACGGAGCCCTCCTTCCACGCCCCCCACCCGGCCCCCTCACCAAGCGATGAACAAGTAAGGGCATCCGCCCCATGGACACATCGACTGTGGGTTAATTGCAGCTTTGCCACCTTTTCTGGGCCACTGGGGAATTAAAGGACTGAAGAGGAAATGAGACCCAAAGGTCTAAAGAAACCACCTTGACACCAGACATTTGGGGGGGGACTTCACTCCCCCCATTCCCCTTCCGGGGTGAATCTCCCCAAGACCCTGCTCATCCTCCGGGCTTCCCCTTTCTGCCGCGTCAGGAAATTCTGAGTTCGAAGCGCCCCGCCCAGCACCCACACACAGGGACACTGAGGCCTGGGAAGACTGGGTTAATGTCTAACATGAGATGAAAATTCGGAATTTCCTCCCCAGTCCCAGCATGGTGGAAAACAAGGTTTTCCCAGCAGCTTAAAACACTCGGCGGCCTGGCAACCAGCATGTCACGGGCTCATCAAAACCCCATCATCTACCTCCCTGGTTGTGCCTGCCATGAAAATACGCTATAAACCCAAATCCCTGAAGCCTTAGGAGTTGCTCAAACGCCCCTCCCACCCTCAACTCCAGTGGGTGCAATTATCACGCTCATAAAGAGTGGCTGGGATTCAGCAAGATTTCTTTGCTTTCAATTTTACCGATTTGCACCAAACAAAAGGATTCAGGATAATTCAAAGCTTGCAATATTTTCCTTTCTTCATACCGAGAGGGCACATGGCGTAAGAAATCAAAGTAACACTGTTCAAGATCCAGAAACCGGAGCACCGTGCAGCCCGCCCACCCTTGCATGTAACCGACTTGCTAACTACTGATTGTTCGTCATCAGAGTTTCAAGTTCTCTGGTAACTACCTGCGTCTGAGGACGGGGACCTGAAACTCCAATGTGCAGCCAGATGGGAGAAGTCGGTAAGCAATAAGCTGTGCACTTTGCTACGCTGTTGGTATAATAAATATCAAACTTAAAACTTGTTTCAAACAAGAAAGAGAGGAGGTACAAAATCCAAGCAAGACCACGAGGGTACCTACCGAGTGAAAAGAAGTCCCCAGCGGTGACAGCCACCCACCTGTGTCTCAGCTACCGCCCCCCCCCCACCCCGAGTCGTTTTAGCCATAGAGAACAGGTGTGTGCTCATCCTTTTTTTTTTTTCTTCTTCTCCAGATAACATTTTAAAGACCGGCCTTTCTCTAACGAGTTTTACTCTAGTGCCTGACAAAACAGTGAAACATCTTGGCATCGTGTTCCATGCTGCCTGCCTTAAAATCGTCCCGTCCCCCGCCCCCCTCGGCCAATCGGATCCTTTGCCGTTTGCGGCGATGTTCGGGCTTCCGTTCTGACACCACAGGAGCGGTGCCCAAGGCCAGCCTGGCAGAGCTTGCTCCGGTGGCCCAGCCCCGGGCAGCGTCCCGACAAGCCAGGGCCCCCTCCAGGTACCAGAGCCCCTCTGAGGCCACGCGCTCTCCTGGTCCCTGAAGCAAACCTACCTCGTTGATGATGATCCTGCTGGCCATCCGCAGTCGGGTCCTGGGCCCGAACTTGTTGGTGATCATTATGCGTAAGCCCGCCTCCGGGAAGCTGAACTTGGGGGGGCTGGAGCTCATGACCTCGTCCACCATCACCACTGGGTTTTTGCCGTACTGGGGCTCCTCCTTCACTGTATGAAGCACAACGCCGTGATTAATGCCGACTTCCCCCTGGGGGCGCCACCCAGGTGCTGGAGCAGCGGACCGCCTGCCCCTCTGCGGCAGACGTCGCGGGCTGAGGTCTCAGCAGCCCGCGGCCCCCTGGGAGGCTGGCTTCGGCTCCTCCCACTAGTCAAGCGGCCATTGGCTTTGAACCACCTGCCGGCTTGAAGAATGAGACACCGCCCCCCGGTCCCCCCATTACAGGCCCACTCAGGGACAGCCCCTCGGCATGTATCCCCCCCGCCCCCCCCCCCCCCACCGATCAGTAGCCCCTCTCCTCTGGGGCCCGGTCTTGGCTAACTGCAAGGATCTTTCAGTTCCTCCTCTGAGTCTCACTGGACAGCCCACCCGTGACTGTGAAGGGACCTTGCTTCCTCCTGGTTGCAGAGGCTCCAAGGGTCCCCTGGAGTGGAACGTGCCGAAAAGCACCAGAGACCACCTGCTCTGTCTTGAAGGGACCGTCTACACCTGACACAGAAGGCTGCTTCTAGCTTTGTTCTCCGTGACGCAGGCAGTCAGGGCAAAGGCTGGGTTCCCAGGCCCTGGACAGGGTGGCTGTGCCCAGGAGGGCAGCCCGCTTGCTGAGGCTGCACGGGGAGCTACTGGCTGAGTCCAGTGTCTCCGGTAAGCCTGCGGCAGGGAGACTGCTGTCTCTGACCCTGTGCGTCTTCTCGGGAGGCTGAGGACCAAATCCCCCAAGGCCCAGCCCTCTTCCCTGCTACCTTCCCGAACACACGCAGGGCAGGAGTCCTGGAGGATCTGACCTCTACCTCCAGAGTCCTGGAGGGGGGCCCCAGTGACAGAACCACTCTTGAACACAGCACACAGAAGCAGGCGGCGTCCCCTCCAAGGGGCTGCCAAAGCAGATATGCCCGACCCTCTGCACTGGCCACCAGCTCCTGGCACGTGCGTGTCCTTCCCGGGGAATGGGGTAACCAGGAGTAGCCAGGGCGAACCCCCGTCAGAGTTAATGGCACAGACAGGAACCAACGCACACCAGACACGCACCCTTACCCAACAGGCAGCAAGGCTCAGCAGACAGGAGGCGGGAGGGTTAGAAACGGAGCCAGGAGGACCATGCATTTGCCGGAGATGGGCACGCACCTCCGACGGGGCGTGCGCTGGGCTTGCGGTGGTTTATTTATTTTATTTATTTTTCCAATGCATGTGTTATCGCTCGGATGGAAGCAGATTACTTACAATTTAGAAGGCGAGGAGCGTTAAGGAGACAAAGGCCAACAGAGATCGCCAGAGACGATTAGCGTGCGGCGGATGCTGAGAGTCTGGGGCAGCACTCCTGGCGGTGGCCGAGATGCCGCAGGGTTATTGGAAGGGGGGGTGTTAGTCGGAGGGCTGCTGCCACAGGGCCTTCGGTGCCTGGGGCCTCTGGCCTCCAGGACGGCCCCTCTCCTGGCTGACTTCCCTGGTTCGGCCCCACTCCGAGGAGCAGGAGCCCCTGAGCCCACTGCCCCTCCACACTGCGGGAAAGCCTGGATCCCTCCCTACTCCGGACCCCCAGCCTATGTCAGAGGGAGGTGGGAACCAGGAGAACAGCTGCCTGGGGACAGCTGGGCTCAGAGGGAGGGAGCCTGCAGAGTGTCAAGGCGAGACACGTGATACCTGGCACCCTGGGCACCTGGTCCTGGTGCCACCTGCCAAGTGGCAGCGCAGGGTGGTGTTCTGAGCCGAGGGTGGCTGCTCAGAAGGTAAACCAATTATAGAGTGGCTCCCGGCAGTTTAGCTGGAGGCCAGGTATTGCCGCCTTATTTCCTGCTGCAAGCCAAAGCTGGGGCTGGGGCCGGGGGCCGGGGCAGGATGGGACGGTCCCACAGTAGCGCCAGCCAGTGGTCAGGGTGGCCCTGGCTGCCAGGCTATGTGAGAATCCACCCGAAACCAGTGATAAGGGGCTGCACACCCTGCAGCGGCAGGACATGGGGGCGCCTCCCTGCCTCGGCCCTGGGGACCTTGCCATATTGTGCTCTGCTTTCTCAAGCAGAATGAAGGCATGATGTGGAAAATTTGTACAAGTTTTAGAGAATCCAGGGCCTGGGGATGGGCCCCCTCCATCAGGCAGGCAGGCAGTAGGAAGCTCTCGGGGCTGGCACCCGAGGTAGCAGACACTTCCTGCCGGCCTGAACGGACTCACCACTTGGGACTCTGCCCTTTGTCATCGAGGTTCCTGAGGCCCCAGGAACACTATGTCCAGGACAGCAACCAGCCTGTCCCAAGAGGCTGTGCGGGGACCTTGGGTCCACTGTCTGTGCGGCCAAAATCCAAAACAGCAGCCACGCCGCTCCCCGCCCTTCCGAAGAGGCTGTCCTAGAAACGCCCCCCCCCCCCCCCAGGGAAGGGCGGGACCAGGCATGGCCCAGGCCCCACAGGCCGCCTCGCTCTGTACCCACAGCTGGGGCTCCGGCAGCCAGGCTGTGGCCTTGACCACACCTGCACCTTGCAGCAGCCCAACAGGAGTCTTATTCGCTTACTGCTGAGACGGGACAGCACGCATTTCCCTACGGTGCGCAGGGGAGGCAGCCCCTCGCTGGACCCGCCCCAGGGATGACTGGGAGGGGGCCAAGGAGTGTGGATTCTGGCCCCTCGTCCCAGACACGGGCAAACAGGCTCTGCTGAGACCACCTGGTCCCACCACTGACGTCAGTCTGGAAGACAGGGCCGTGGGGAGCACAGGGGAGAAAACACCCCTCAGGTGGCCAGGGCCCACCTCTCGACCGACACCATGGGTGGAACTCGGGGGTGGGGCTATAGCCCTGTTTTTCCTGTCCGAATTACAGGAACCCGTGCAGGTCTTCGCTCTGGGCTCAGGTGAGACTGGATTCTCTCTCCCTCCTGGCAGCCACCCCCAGAGGGGGTCACCTGGTATCCGGCTAGACTGAGACAAGGTTTTTAAAGCAGCAAGCGGTCAGGCCTAGACGGTCAGGAGGACCTGACAGAGGGGTCAAGCGCCGGCTCCAGGGGCCCAGGACCCCCAGACAGGGGGCCACTGGGAAGCTGCCGAGGCCAGGCTGCAGCCCGGGGCAAGGCTCCCCGGGCGGCTCCGGGAATTCCTGCGAGGTCTGCGCCTGCCTTTCCCGGCCTGGCTCTTCCTCTGGGCAGCGAGCCAGAGGTCTCTCCGCCAGAGGTCTCTCCGGAGCAGAGGCCTCCACACTGAGCCTGGCGCTTGAGAAACCACAGCGGCAGCCGGGCCTGCTCTGTCTCCCCCAGCCCTCAGCTTCCTGTCACTGGCCTTCTACAAGGGACAGAGAGGGGACTCGCTGCCTCTCAGAAAAGCCACGCAGGCCTTGGGTCTCAGCCAACGCAGCTCGGGGAAATCCCCGGGGACGCAACTGTTGGCAGCTTCTCCCTCTACGCAAACACCTCCCACTCTGACTCCCTCCTCGTCTAGGGTCCTGTGACCGAAGGAAAGAGTGACAATTTGGATGGGGTGTGTGTGCATGCGTGCGGAGACGAGAAGGGGCGGTGGTTTGGGGGACGTGGTCCGGCCACTCCTGTCTGCTCAGCCTTACCTCGCCCCAGCAACGGCACGGAAGGGTCGTCAGAGCTGCTATCGCAGCAATCATTACCGTCCTCCAGCTCACTGCTGACCGTGTTGCCGTTGGCAACGGTCTTCTGCTTGATGGTGAAGAAGGCCTGCATCTTCACATTGTACCTGGAAGTGAAGGCAGGGGCGGGGTCAGAGCGGCGGGAGAGACCAGGCAGGGCCCGCCCCTTCCGCTCACACCCTTCACAGACACGGGGAGCTGGGGGGCACAGCTCCTCCACTGCTGGACAGGCTTCCCCAGCAGGAGCTGCAGAACCACATGCAGGCCGTTGGGCCTGTGCCTCCTGAGACCTTCGTGGGATTTCTGGGGGCATGAAACACCTGTAGCCCAAGAAAATAACCGAGACCTCTTACTGCTGGTCACCAGCCTGTCCTGATACAGGGAGTTCTGCTCAGCCTCGGGGACGGGCTCAGAGGAGGCATCGCTGGGCTTGTCCTCCAGCAGCTGAGTCTCTGGGTCACCCCTGTGTCCCTGCCGGCCAGCACCCCCCCCCCCCACACACACACAGAAGCCCCTCTCCACCTCAGACCCCCGGCTGCCCACCTCCCCGAAAGGCTCCCAGGAGCACATCTGTGAGGGACAGTTCTCCCTCGGTGTGGCAGTCTATCTATCCCCCACTTTTAGAAGACATTACAGGTCACGGCCTCCTAAAGCTCAGCGTTGTTGTTCTCTTTAAACACCTGCTCAGGTGTGAACAGGAAGATAAAACCTGCATGTGGTGCACCTCAGGGGTAGTGCTTCCTTTTCTTTTTTTCTTATTGTGGAAAAACATACACAACATAAAACCTGCCACTTTAATTACTTTCCACTCTGAGGCGCACCGTTCAGTGCCACCAGCCACATTTACAATGGGGCAACCACCTGCACTGTCTGTTTCCAGAACTCTCCCAGCATCCCAAGCAGACCCTGCACCCACGGACCAATTCCTTACTCGCTGCCACCCACTCCAAGCACCTGGTCATCGCTAAGTTGCTTTCTGTCTCAGTGAGTCGGACTCTCCCAGGAACCTCACTAAACGGGTGAGGTTACAGACAGTATTTGTCCTTTTGTGGCTAGCTCCTTCCACTCGGCATAAAGTTTGCAAGGCCCATCCCTGCTGTAGCCGGGGACAGACGTCCTTCCTTTGTCATGGCCGAGGAATCTTTCTCAAGGGTAGGTTCAAGGTGATTCTGACCTGGGCAGCTCCCACAGGCCACAAGGGCTCACAGCCCTGGCCCCTGTGTCTGCGTCTTCAACACCGTGAGTGGCGCCCCCTGCTGTTGCATGAGGCAGCAGCCCCGAGAGCCGGCATTTTACGAAGCCTGGAGCAGGAGTGAGGCTGCCTGGTTCTTGGGGAAACAGTGGTGTTAAATGATCAGATTTATGCCGACAGCAGACAGACTGGTCGGCCTGGGGCATGGAGAAGCACAGAGTGGGGTTCGGGGGGGTCCTTCCTTGCTACTTCACCCACCAGCCCTGACTCCCCTGGCCAGGGGTGGGCAGCACCCCAAAACAGTGTCTGAACCTCTCTGCCCCACCCTGGCCGCCCCAGTGGGTGTCCCCGAGAACTGGGCGCCCCCCGCCCCCCCAGAAGCGACGGAGGCCCAGTGGAGGTCTGCTCCCTGCTGTAACCACAGGCCAGAGCAGTGTCCGCATGAGGGCACAGGAGAGCCCAGGAGGAGGAGCAGGAGGAGGGGAGACGGGGCACTTACTTCATGATCAGGATGTAAAATATGTACAGGATGATGAGCACCAGGGCCTCCCACCTCGGAGAAAGGAGACGGCGGTTAGAGGGGTTAGAGCGAGGCGGCCCTCGAGCGCTGCCGCCTGGGAGTGGTACGCACGGAGGGTGAGGCTGGGTGGGGTGTCCTTGGACCTTCCCCGTCCCTGACATCCGGCCCAGGACCCAGCACCCAGGCAGGCAGGTGGGCCGCCCAGCCCGGGGCTGTCCTGCAAACTAATGCTGTCTGGGTGACAGAGAGAAGGCCGAGAGTGGGGTCCTTCTCAGTGACGGGGGGTCGTGGGACTTGCCTCCTGAGGCGGAGTCCCTCAGCAAGGTAGAGAAAGGAGGGGCCAGAGCCACCACATCCTGGGATGCAGGGAGGGGAGTGGCCTGGAGTCACATAGACTGGACACTGAGGGGCCTCGGGGTCACAGGAGATGCTGGCCACGGAGCAGAGAAGCCGTGGGTGGAGGCGGAGTGGGCCCTAAGAACTGCCTGGAGAGGGGGCGCAGGGCCTCCTGGGCTGCACGCTGGGGCAGGGCGGGGGCCTTTCCGAGACACACGGTCATGGCTGTCTTGCGTACGCAGAGCCCAACTCCATGTGTGGTGGGCTTCTGGAGCCGCACGGCTTTGGTTTGTTTGTGCATCTGACAAATGGGTACCAAAGGCACGCTGAGGCCGGAGACAGCACAGGGAGCGCTCCGAGATTGCGCTGCTGCTGCTGGCCTGCGTCCAGCATCCTGGTTGCCAGGAAACACCTTTTACCACTTGGGTAGAATGGATGGTAAACCAAGGCAGGGAGGAGGAAGGTCTCACATGCTAACTCAGCAGTCCTGAGCCTGGTCTGATAATATTGCCAGGTGTTCCGACATCACAAGAAACACTATGTTAGCAAGGGAGAAGGGAAGTCCTTGAAATTCTATGTAGCATTTCCGCTGTCTGGGAAAGAAAGCTTTGAAACTGTGTTTTCATCCCGGGGCCTGGAATTCGAGAAAGGGTCTGCAGTGCCCAAAGAAGAATCCCATAAAACAACTTTGGTTAATTGTGTACCTCTGGTCACCACCTGTTTTACGAGGGAGTCCCTGATGCTTCCAGAAAGAGCCCATAAATAACTTTGGGTAACTGCTCCACTTTGAATTAACTGCCTCTGTCACGTATTTATTTTACAAGCAGATGAACAAATGGGGTCTGGAGCAAGACAAGGATTCGGGCTAACAGACCCCCATACATGCCCAAGTTTGGGTGGTCACCTCCCCCAGGAAAGCTGGCACTGCATTTACCCGTTAATCAATATGTAACTTTCTTCTCCCATCCTACCAACTGTGTAAGTCCTCAGAACAAAGGACTCTCTCTCTCTCTCTGGGGGTCAGGGCGCTCTTGACGCTCTTGGCTTGGGGGCCACTGGGCCTCTGGCCACCCGGGGGCTTGTCACCCTGGTCTTCAGCCACTCTTATTTTGCCACCCTGCTTTGCCCTGAAACCTTGCCTTTCACCCCGCCCCTCAACCCCACCCAGTCCTGTTCTCTTCCATGGGAACAGGTCACTGATAAACTGATTACATGCTAATAGATTTGCTGATCTGTAATTCCTTACATGCGTCAGCAAGAAGAACCAGGTCTCTCCCGTCAACACTACCACGTGCCCGGCACGGGCTCCAGTCGTTTTGGGAGCTCTCCCTTGGCTGTCAAGAGCCCAAGGACCAGCAGAGCCACAAAGGGACTAGTAGATGACCTGGCCCCCACCCCCAACTCCAGGTGCAGATGAGGAAAAGCAGGGCCGGAAGTGGGGAGACCCTCCGGCTCGCTTGGCGGGGTGGGGGCCAGGCTGGGGCCAGAGCCAGGTTTCTCTGGGCCCACGGCACACAGCTGCCCCCATCAGGCTCCGGAATGCGTTCCCACGAACAGCCGCACACGGGACGCAGACCCCGGCTCTCTCTCACGCAGACGGCGTTTCTGTGGCTCGTGTGGACGTGAAGCACAGTCACGCTCTACAATGCGAAGATAACACCCTCTTCTCTGAAGTTTGCGTTGCCTGTCTACTAAGGAGTCATTTCCGGCCTCAGTGTCACGGAGACGAGTCCCTGTGTTTTATTCTACGGTGTCTTAGCTTTGCTTTTCACAGTGAGGTCTTCCACTCGCCCGGAATTCATTCTCGCATAAGGTGTGAGGGAGTGGTCTGATGTCGTCTTGCTCCGTGTGGATCCCCAGTTGTCCCAGCCGCGTCTGAGACCCCTCCCCAGCTCACTTCCTTGTCGGGACAGCTGCCACCACCTCCCCCGGCCCAGAACTGGGCCGTGACCAGGCCTATGCTTATCCCTGCGCAAAATGCCACCGTTTCCATCCCTTTAGCTTTATAATATCATCTTGACGTCTGGCAGAGTGGAAATATTAAGGGAAAAATTTTTGTCACTCTGAAACAATTTTTGTCACTTCGAAAGGACAAGCGAGGGCACGCTTGCTTAGAATGATGCCCTTTTTACTTTCACAACTTCATTAGCGTATGTGTGTAAGAAATAATTGTAAACGATTCAGTGAACCCCATCAGCAAGGACACTAACAAAAATGAGCGAGAAACAAACTGTGAAAACTTACCACACGATCTCTTCATCATAGATGAACTGGAAGGCAAGAGAAACAAAGGGAGGGGGGAGACACATTTACTCCAAAACCAAGAAACAAGTGCAGGCCTCTAAGCACCCGAGCGGACGCGTCTCACACGGCTCGCTGTGTTTCCGCAGAAAGCCGGCCCCCCTCCCCTGCAGCAGGCGGCCCTGCCTTCATTGAAACCCAGGTCCGCAGACGCGGCAGCCTGCGGGCCAGCACAGCGTGGGCCTGTCCTCTATTGTGGACCCAGAAGCTGCTGGGGCCAGCCTGGCGGGGGCATGCCCTCATGAACGGAGCAGAGTTGCTACAATCAAGAATCCTAAAAACTGAAAAGACATCCATCCATCCATCCATCCATCCATCCATCCTTCCTTCCACCTGTGGTACCCGTGTATATAGGAGAGAAGGGGTGTTCATTCTTTTTGTTTTTAATTTTTTAAGATTTTTTATTTATTTATCTTTAGAGAGGGAAGGGAGGGAGAAAGAGAGAGAGAGAGAGAGAGAAACATCAATGTGCGGTTGCTGGGGGCTGTGGCCTGCAACCCAGGCATGTGCCCTGACTGGGAATCAAACCTGAGACGCTTTAGTTTGTAGCCCGCGCTCAATCCACTGAGCTATGCCAGCCAGGGCTTTAATTCTTAAAAGTGAAGCATTCCTTTGGAACTTCTGACGGATAAAAGACCCACTTTACCACTGGAAGGGAGGGTTAAGGCCAATGGTGGGGGCTCCATGGTTGCTAATCGGGCCAGCGACCTCGTCCTGCGTCTCCGGCATGTGACATGGATGAATGGGGTCCGGGGAGGACTCCTGCGAGCGCCGGATGTTGGCAGGGAGGTGGGCGGGCTCTGTCCCCCAGTCTCATCTGGGAGACAGGTAGGTTCCTACAGGGGAGGCCAGCAGAGGCCAGGGGCCCACCGGGCCCCTCCCGGCCGTCGTAGCGGGTGGCACACACAGGAGCCACTTTGGGATGCGGCTAGAGGGGGTCCGCCTGGCCGGGCGTCACTGTGAGGCTCCCCAGACTCGAGGCTCCGAGGAAGTGGCACTCAGCCCCGGACACTGGCGGGACGTGGATGGAGCTGCTTTTGGCTTTACAAACCCGGGGAAGGCCACTGGCGTCTGGAGGCGGGGAAGGCCAGGGCTGCCGGCCAGCCGAGAATGCGTGCAACACGTCCATCGGAGGAGTTTCCCTGAGTTTGGCACGAGTATCGAGCGTCTTGCTAAGGGTTCAGGTAAGTGAGAAAGATAAATAATCTGAGCCTAGAACTAGACTGCGTTTCACGAATCAAAGCATTTTCATGGGGGGTTAGTAAATACTTGATTTTCTAGTGATGTAACTGCCATGCGCAGTGCGGGGATAATTGCACTTGGCTCTTTTTGGGGTTTTATCAGGAGTTGTTCATCGTTCCGGAAAATCACGTCATCGGGGTCGGCAGCACGTGGGGGTGTGGGGTGAGGTGCCGGGCGGCTCACGGGCCCAGGGCTGCACTGACAGGGGTCGGGCCCGGGGATTTTCCACGTGGGGGCAACGTTGTATCAGCGGGTGTTCTAGCCTCTTCCTGCCCAAACCTAAAAGCTGTGTTCTTTGCTAGGACTTTCACTTGTCTTTTACAGTATAGCTTAGACGCTATGGTTTTGTTGAGATTATGGGTAGGCAAACCATTCTATCTATCACCTTCATTTTCGGGGCTGTGAGGGTGGCCCCAGGGATCCCACCGCCTGATACTCCCCTCGTGAGCGTGGCCTGGGCCCTCGACTTGCTCCTCACACACAGAATTCAGCAAACGTGAGGGCTGTCACTTCCAAAAGTAGGCAACAAACAGGTTCCTTCTCTCTCTTGCTCTGAGGGATGCCGGGGGCCCCAGAGTCAGCCCCACCTGCGAGGCCAGACCTGAGGCTGCCCAGAGGGACTGGGTCCTGCCAGTGGATTCTGGCCCAGGGGAGCCGAGAGGTGACCGCACCCCGGACGGCACCTGGGACGGAGCCTGGCTGGCTGAAGCCCTCGGCCGAGCCACTCCAGACCGGAGTCCACAGAAAACAGGAGGGAGAAAGGCTGGCTGTTCTAAGCCACTGAGTTCTGGGGGGATTCTGCACACTGTAGTAGATAACTAATATGAGGGACATGGCTGTCACATGTCGTTGGTGCTAGATCCCGTATGGCTGAGGACTGTCACTCCAGGGCACCACCCAGACCCTAACAGCTGGGCGCGCTGCGTGTACCTGCCCTCTTTGAAAATGACTTCCTGCCCTGGCTGGCGTAGCTCAGTGGATTGAGCAGGGCTTCGAACCAAAGCATCGCAGGTTCGATTCCCAGTCAGGGCACATGCCTGGGTTGCAGGCCACGGCCCCCCAGCAACCGCACATTGATATTTCTCTCTCTCTCTCTATCTCCCTCCCTTCCCTCTCTAAAAATAAATAAATAAAATCTTTAAAAAAAATCAAGAATAACCAAAAATAATCTTAAAAAAAAAAAAAAGAAAGAAAATGACCTCCTGCCCTTCGAGGCTCCTCCGGACAGAAACCGAGTCCCCGTGGATGACACGGCCCGACTGCCATGTGCTTCACTGTCTAGTTCCATGATGTCACCCCAGCCCTTGGGGGGCCATAGGGATACCCCCCCCCCCCCCACACACACACGTGAGCAAGCCTCCAGGGTCCCTGTTTCGTCTCCTCTCCTCTTCTCTCCGCTCCCCCACCCCCGGCCGCCCACTTGGACAGCTCCCAGCCGCCCGTCTGCTTTGTGCTCGGCAGTGAGCACTGTGCGCGGCAGTGCGCTGCGAAACCCGGAGCTCCGCTCTGCGTGAGGCTCCGAAGGGCGCGCAGCGTGCTGGCGCGTAACTGCGTGGACCACACGGCACGTGCTTTGGCTTTTGGGGGGGCTTTTTGCCTTCAAGGAGTCAGGTGTGAGATTTGCGGGGACGGAGGCACAGTGGCCGGTAGACTGGACAGAGCGACAGTAGGGAGCGGTCAGCAGCCCCCAACCCCCAGGCTGGGGGGCGGGGGTTTCCCTGGGACGTCAGGGTGGGGGGAGGGCACTCACGGCGATCAGCACGACGACAGAGAGGGTGTAGTACACGGAGTCCCGGCACACGGCCCACCACGTCAGCCGGACCACCTGCGGGCAGAGGGCTGTCAGCCGCTGTGGGCTGGTGGGGGCGGGGGTGGGGGCTGCAGGGTGGGCACAGTGGCTGGGGGGCTGGGGACTTCCCCACCACCTCAGACTCCCCCCCCCCCACACGGCTACAAGGACACGCCCATGGAGCTCCTCCTAACCGTGCCAGAAACAAGTCCTCCTGGTTGTCCCAGGCCACCCTGTGCTCGTCACTAAATTTGGGAAACAGACGAAGCCAGGGAATGTCCGGAAGGGAGGGGAAGGCTGCCCCCTGGCTCCTCCGAGGTAATGACCTCGCACGATCCACAGCGAAGTGCTACACTGAGGCAGAGGCCAGAGGCACTGGCTCTTCCCCCACTGATGCTAGGACCTCCCGGTGGCACCTGGCTACCCTCCTCGGCCTCCTGCAGCCAAGCAGGGCCTGTGCATGAGATCAACGCTCTGAGGCCAAGTCTAACAGCCCCTAGGGAGATGCTGATAGGGTGTCAGCGACAGGCCAGTTGCACGCTCCCGGCCAGAGGCCCACAGGCAGGCCACGGGCAAGTCGGGCATCCAGCCCAGGTCAGGGTTACAGGAGGCGCCCCGCACCCTTCACCGCGGTGGGGGGAGCACTCGCCCGAGGACTGGACAGAGGGCCGACGCTCTCCCTGCTCCCAGCCTGCAGGCTGCAGGGGGCTTGCTGGGCACCGCTGGGCACCCAGGGAGCCAGGGGCACGGCTAAGCCGGGCCTTGGGCCTCCCCACCACTGTCCCTCATGTCACTGCACCCAGAGAGAGAAACCACCACAGACCTGGCCCGCGAATAATCCACAAACTCCGATTATACACAGGATGTTGAACACGGCGGAGCCCACGATGGTGCCGACCCCGACGTCTCCGTGGGTGATGAACACGCCTGGGAAGGGGAAGGCACAAATCCGCATCTGCGAGGCCCAGGCCGGCCGTGGGGCCGGTGAGGACACTGTCCCCAGCACCCTCCCGCCCCCCACAGAGCAAGGGAAGTCGGTCTCCCCATCACACAGAACACCCACAATGCAGTGAGAATGGGAGCAGGCTCAGACCGGCTACTCCAATTCTTCCTGAGTTTTTTGAGCAGCTTTATTAAGATATAATTCATATGTAAAGTATCAGTTCAGAGTTTTGCAGTATAGTCACAGAACTGCGCAACCATCACCGTGATCTATGTAATTTCAGGACACTTTCAGTATCCCCCCCAAAAAGCCCTGTACCCATTAGCACCCCCACGCCACCCATCGGTGGTTCCGCCCCAGGGAACCGCTCATGTACTTCCTGTCTCTCATCTCCCCCTTTTACAGATGAGAAGACTGAGGCTCAGAGCAGACACACGCATTCACTCGTCAGGGCACCGACCCCGGGCTCCCTCCCGACCCCGTGTCCCCGGCTGGTGGGATTTCTCACCGATAATCGAAGCGAACAGCTCGGGCGTCGAGCTTCCTGCGGCCATGAAGGTGGCTCCAGCCACGTCTTCACTCAGGTGGAGTTTCTGAAACAGACATGACCACAGACCCCCAGGATATGGCGTGGGGACAGCGGGCACACTAACCAGATGCTTCGGCAGCCAGGGGAAGTGTGGGAAGCTAGCTTCTTCCCAGCAGCCTCTCCTCCCCCTGCCCTGGGCACACTCCCTTGGCCACTAGGCTGCGCCCTCAATTTGGAATCCTGTCCCCCGCCCTCACCTGGAGCAGAGCACGTGGCTCCCTCTGAGTAGGTCAAGGGGAGGCTAGACAAAACCTTTGCGCACTTGTGCTGGGTCACTCACAGTTCAGGGGACCCAGGTCAAGCAACCAAGTGCCTACCCCTACCGATCCATGTCCCCAGCTGTTAATGTCACAGCAGTATGGCCTTGGACAGCTGGGAGATGTCATGCAAGTTAAGTGGTAAAGTGTGGCAAAGCCCTGAGCAGCCTGCACACAGTAGGTGCCTTCTTCTTCCTTGGCTAGAAGCCAAGAGCAAGGCAGAATAGGGATAGACTGGGGTTTGTATATGGGGCGAAAGAAGAAAAGAAAGTAAAGTCTTAACAAAATAATTAGGAGGAGAGAAATGTCAGCCTGCCAAGGTTGGGACAAAGAACGCTGCAGGCTCAGCCTCCTCCCTAGGGACGCAGATCCCCCCCGGTACCTGCCCCCCACACCTGGTTATTATGGCCAGGGCTCCCTAATTGGTCGGGCTTGGCTTTACTGTGCACAGCGGCCGGCCAGCCGGCCTGCCGTGCAGCCAGAGGTTCTGGGTAATGGTTACGTGCTGCCGAGTCTGGGAGGGGACGCCACCCACCAATCTAATCTGGGGGTTTCAGAGCGAGGCTACCCTGAGTGATTGGCCTGACAATCTTCATGGCCAGAGTCCTTCTCGGCCTGGCGCTGACGTGCCACGTGTCTTCGATCACCCCAGCCCCTGCCCAAGCTTTGCCCGGGGGTCCCCAGCCTCTCCCCCACACACACCTCACAGATCTTCTCGAGAGAGGGAACGAAGAAGTCGTCGCACACTATGGCCAGGGCGTAGAACATGTAGAGAGCCTGCGAAGGGCACAGGACAGAGAGTGTCAGCGAGGGCACCTGCCACCCACGCGGCCCGGCCAGGTAGCCGTCCCACCCGAGCCAGCCTGCGGGGCCGGGGACATGAGCCAGCCTGGAGGGAATCTGCAGCACCACAGGGCCTTGCCCCCTCGATCCCCTCACGGACCAATGGGAAATGGAGGCCCGGAGAGGCGAGGCACTTGCTGAGCAGCACGGGGGACTGAAACTCAGGCCACGTGGTCTTGTGCTCCTTCCTCCTGTCTGGAGGCAGCAGCTCTGCCCCCACACCAGAGCGCGCCCTCGAAAGGGAAGCCCTAACCTCGGAAGGAAGGCACTTAAAACCACCATCTTGAGCGCTTCAATCCCCATCCTCCTGATTTCCCCTTATTTTCGGCAAAGCACCATTTCCTTGTCACCACCGGCCACCTGCTGCCAGAACAAATGTCCACCTGAGATGCGGCATTTCCCGGGATGCCCCTGGGTGCCGGCACAGGTTAAAAGCCACCCATGACCTGGCTGGCGGAGCTCAGTTGATTGAGCGTGGGCTGCGAACCAAAGTGTCACAGGTTCGATTCCCAGTCAGGGCACATGCCTGGGTTGCAGGCCATGGCCCCCAGCAATTGCACATTGATGTCTAAATGTCTCTCTCTCTCTCTCTCTCCTTCTCCCTCCCTTCCCTCTCTAAAAATAAATAAAATCTTAAAAAAAAAGCCACCCATGGACACTGGAAGGTTCGTGGAACAAAGAGTGTCGATTCTAATGGTGATTCTGGGACTTGTTTGCCATACGTGGGACTTTGGATGAGTTACGTCTCTAGGTCTCAGTTTCTTCATCTATCTGATGACGGAGCAAGAACAGATCCGTAGTTTCCAAGTGGTTTTATACACAGACCCCTCGCTGGCCCCGTCCACCCAACTCAGCTTCGCTGAGCTCCTCTGTGTATGAGGCACCTGTATGCAGGCATCGGGATACGTGGCGAGGACACCAGGAAAGGCCTCTGCCTCGTGTGACGTACCTTCGTGGGGACAGACAAATAGGCAAAGTATCCGTACGTGCCGGGAAATGGGGCGTGCAAAGGCCCTGAGGCGGGGGTACGCCTGAAGCATCTGAGGACCGGCAAGGCCGCTGGTGCAGGCAGAACCCAGTGAGAATGAGGGAGGAGGTGGAGAATGGGAGGTCGGAGGGAGAGGCGAGGATGGGGACCCACCAAAAAGAGATGCGATTTCACGCTATGCCCTGGGGGAAGCCACTGCTTTCTTCACAGGAAGAAGGATGTGAATGCCCCCCGTGCAAAGCGGGGAAGCCTGGGCTGCCTCACCCAAGACGGGGTGATACTCCGACCACTTCACAGGGACTTAACTACGACTAAATAAAATGGAGGATGTGTCAGCTGTGGCCAAGGCAACCGAGGCAGGTGTCTACTGGGGTCCAGGTGAGGCTGCCCCTGGATCTGATTAGAGAGAGAGAGAGAGAGAGAGAGAGAGAGAGAGAGAGAGAGAGAGAGAGAGAGAGAGAGGCCTGTGTGTGTGTGTGTTGGGGGGGCAACTCCTGGGGGTTAAGGTAAAAGGGAAGAGAGTGAGGTGGGAGAGACCCCGCTACGAATCTCAGGGTTCCGACTTGAACTCACACCCCCCCGCAAGTTCCCCCAACATTATCTCCCAGGCTGAGGGTGTCCTGTGAGGCCAGAGTCTCTGGCTCCGCTGACGTTTCTGAAACGCGGCAGAGGAAAGGGGCCAACATGGTGCCTCTATTTCCATTGTGTGAACTGAGAGGCCAACACTAAGCACTGTAGGCTTTGCAGTCTCTGAAGAGCAGCCGTGGAACGGGTGTGGCTGTGTTGCAATAAAACTTTATTTGTAAAAGTAGAAAGTGGTCTGGTGGTCCCTGCAAAATTCCCGAGGTGCACGGAGGTTCGAGGTTGTCTCAGCACCGCCAGGATTTTGTGAGGCAGAGGAACAGAACCCTGGGCCTGACTCACCAAATCCACACTCTCTTAGTGGAAGGCGGTGCCCGAGGAAGCCGGAGAAACCAGGAAGATAATAACTCCATTACCCAAATAATATACAGGCCTGTCATTCAAAATGTGCCTACAATCTTCACTCTAAGCTCCATTTTCATTAACACTGCATATTCTGTTAATTAAATCTTCACTCATTCATTATTCGCTGGTGGCTATTATCACTGTGAGAATCCCAGCTCTGACTTTCTTAATTATCTCTTGCAAAGGCTAATATTTGGTTGGGTTTAAATATATAAGCAGAGAGAGGGTGCTGGGTGGTCGGGAACCTAATCAAGAGGAACATTTGCTGTGCTTGATCCAAAGTGGCCACCGTTGTACAATAAGGCTGGCAGATTTTTGCCCAGGGACGGAGAGTGATCTATCTTTAGCTTTGCAGACCAAGGCATCTGAGGTGTGACTATCCCTGGGTTTCGTTATCGTTCGGGGGGGAGCAAAAAGAAACAAACACTGGGGGTGCAGGCAAAGCCACCACTACTCGGCTCTGCCCCTGAGGCCAAAGCAGCCATCAATGACACACACATGAATGGGAGAGGCTGTGTTCCAATAAAACTTTATTTACAAACACGGGCAGCAGCCATGGGCTGTGGTTTGCCTATCCCTGACAGAGAAGAGCAAATTTTACCTATGACTTAGGTCTGAACTCACTGTTCCTTTGTTGTTGTTTTTTAAATCCTCATCCAAGGATATGTTTATTCGTTTTAGAGCGAGACATCCATCAGCAGCTTCCTGTACGTACCCCAACCGGGGATAGAACCTGTAACCTAAGTATGTGCCCTGACTGGGGATCGAACTTGCAACCTCTTGGTGCACGGGACAATGCTCCAGATAAGTGAGCCACCGGGCTAGGGTTGAACCCACTATTTCTTTTTGAATCCCCCCTTAAACGCCACTGTTTATCATCAAGGCCCCTCTGAATACAGAGGGAAGTTTCCGAAGCGCACCCATGTTTTAAACTACAGTCGTGCAAGGTGGTGCATCGGGGGGGAACCAGCAGCGAGCACGGAGAGAGCACTTATTATGCGCCACGTGCAGTCTGCTGCACTTGACCCACACCCACTCAGACCTAGGCATCCGGGAGAGGCGCTGTCGCTCCCGGTTTATGGAAGCACAAACTGAGGCACCAGGAGGCTCGAGCTCTTGTCCGGGCTCTGCGGCCACTTGCTGTGTGACACTGAGCCGGTCGCTGAACATCCTTCAGACCCCGTTTCTTTGCGGGTGAGGCGGGTGCAGCCCCGCCCTCCTCACAGGCTCTGACAAGGACTGGATGGACGGCCCCTACCCCCATGCATGGCGGCCCCACCGCGTCCGAGGACCGGCTTCCCCGCTCCACGTGCCGGACGCCCCGCCCCGCCCCGCGAGGGCCACTTACACCCAGGACGTGCAGCAGGACAGCTCCGTGCTGTCGCTCCTGGTTGGAGAACAGGTCTGTGGGGAACTCGTGGATGGCTGGAAGACAAGAGGACGCGGCAGAGCGTTAGTTGTCAACGGGAGGTGAGGCTCGGGGGCAGGGGTGTTGGAGCAGGCGCCCAGGCCGAGGCGGAACAAGGGAGAGGAGGAGGGCTCGGAGGGCACTGGTCCTTGTCCCCTTGGCCCTGGGCCCCCTGAGGTCCACTCGGGTGCCAGGTGTGCTTCCGCCAGCATCTTGGGTCATCACACACCATGTCACAGGCCCTCCTTTGGCCCCAGGGATGTCCCTGCCGGGGTGGACACTGCCACCCCTGTTAGGGGCTCTCATCGTCCTGGGCGGTGGGCGGCCCTGTGAGATACAGAGCTCTCCACACCAGCAGCCACACACCTGGGGTCCAGGTGCCATCCCTGACACCCCCTGTGACCCCACACAAGTGGTCTGAGCAACTGCCTGCCTCTCAGGCCCCAGAACGTTCCCGCGTGATGAAGGAATAATGCCTCCCCACCAGCCCCGCTTCCAGAGGACAGGTGGATAAGCACTTCGTGAATGTCGTCCCCGCAGCTCCCCCATCAGAGACGCCCACACCCCCACTCTTCAAGGGGCCTCATCACAACAGCTAGACCGGGAGCTTCAGGTAAACAGGGGTCCGCCCAGCCCTGTGCTGCGTCCTCGGTGCCCTGGCCTGGTTGGCACTCAGTAGGGTCCCAACAGACCTTCAAGTCGATAGCATAAGCAATGGCAAAACACTCACAGTAACAATGTGCATCGCCTCGTCCTGCGAGAATGCTTCCGTTACCTTTGGAAGGCCCTTAAATAACTAGAATGACCGGGTTCCTGGCGGGCGCTTGTTAAATGCTTGTTAAGTCAGCTCCCAGGACAAAAATCCCTTCTCTGTAAAAGTAATTTGGCCCCAAGCTCTGAAAAGGATCGTTTCTCCCTTATATGGAGACTTTTCTGTATTTTAAGATTAGATCCTCCCAACGAGACAGAAAACATCAGCTCCCCAGACACCCAGAAAATGTTCCCACTTTGAAACAAGCAGCAATTTAATGAAATATAGATTCTTTCACTTCTGTGTTGTTTTTTTTTTTTCTCTTCCTGTAATCAAACTTCTGGAATGGAATTGCTCTGTCGGTTCAAGGGCATGGACCTGCTCCAAGGTTTGCCGTCTCAGAGACGGAGAACTGTAAAGGCAGAGACGGCGTCCCTGCAGCCAGGGATTTGTTTCAGGGAGAAATGTAACTGAATCAATAGACATTTCTGCCACGAAAATTTGAGACAGCCCCTGCTTCTCCAAAGCAGTGGTTTGAAAGCTGGTGATTTATCCAATCCTGGAAATTCTTTGGAAATTAGTATAAGGTGATGCCGGCTTTTTTGCTTTGAGGACATTATCGTCTGGCCTCCAGCAGGGAGGGAATATGGGTTATAAATGGCTTTGTCCTTGCAAGGAAGAGAGCTCTGCCTCGGCCACAGCGCCTTGCCCTGCCACCTCCTGGGTATGCCAGAGGCTGCAGAGGGGAGCAGATGCCATCCCTGGCCCCGGTTCCACCAGCAAAGACAGCGAGCAACCAGCAGAGCTGCCCGCTGCCAGCGCCCCACGGCCCTCTGGACCCACCCGAGTCTCCCGGCACATCCTGAACCCGTGAGGCAGGCACTGCAGCCGACACCGTCCCTGCTTTCCAGACGAGGTTCACAGTGGGGAGTGGCCAGCTCGGGGCCCCCAGCCACCTAAGCCAGGACTCACAGGGGTACCCTGCATTGCTCTCCACGGTGAGGAGCCGCCTCTAACGCCAATGGAAGCCTCCCTGCCCCGGGAGACAGCAGACCTGGAGAGAGCCTGCGGGTCCCTGGCTGGGTCATTCAATCCCTTTGTCCCTCTGCTTCTTCAGTCACAACCTGTGGCCCCCGAGGTAAAGAAAGAGTCACCTCTGCTGAGTACGTGGCTGTCAGAGGCTGTAAGCAGGCAGGCGGCCACCCTGCCCTCTCATGTTGGCGGCTGGTACCTGGGACCAGTCCACTTTCCAGCTCAGGGGTCAAGTCCTCTGGAAACGGGTGCAGGGGGTACAGGCCATGGAGCATGCACAGCAGGAACTCAGTCCCTGCCATCGCTGTCACCAATGGCAACAACCCGGAGCTGCAGACAGCCTGTGTGAGCCGCTCAGCCAGTGTCTTCAGAAGCAGATGGCTCAGGCTCCGGGAGGGGCCTCTGCCCCTTATGACCCAGGTGACCTTGACACGCTGCTTAACACCTCAGGGCTGTGACCCCTCCACACGGGGGTCCCCACACAACCCGCCGGTCAGGGTGCTGCAAGGACGCAGTGAGGTGACGTGTGTGTGGCACCCAGCCAGTTAGGCTGCCGCCACCGTGAGGATCTTAGCTTACAGGCTCCTGGCTCACTGCGACCTCCGTCCCCGCGCCTCCACAGGACGAGCCTCCGTCTGTGAAGGTCAAAGAGCGGATAAGGCCAGCGCAGGGGGGAAGAGAGTGGGTGAGTTGAGACGGGCCACGTGAGGATCTCAGCACTGATGGAGTTTCACCCCAGCTTCTGCGGCAACCTTTCTTTTCTCCTGGCCTTGCTGGGATCCGGAGCCCTGACCCCCGTTCAAGGGGGTGACGCTTGCCCGTCTGAGAGGGGCCGAGTCTGCCCCGGCCGCTCAGATCCCGACCAGAGGCAACGAGGAATCGGCAGGGCACACGTAGGGCACACCCGAGCCCGAGAGCTGCAGAAACCCCAGGGGCAGGAGTGGGCGGCGAAGAAGAGAGGCGTCTGCAGGCGGAGCCCGGCTGGGGAAGCCAGGGACGATCCCGGCACCGTCCATGTCAGGGGTGATGGCGGGAGCCCGGGGGGGGGGGGGGGAGGAGGGAAGGAGAAGCTACAAACCTCACAGCAGCCCCTTCCCACACCCTTTGGGATTCTTTCCTCTGACCTCAGTGCTCAGAACTGGCTTCTCCATCGCTCTTGGTTCTGGACACACCCCGGATCCTCCTCACACAGGCGTTTTCTTCCCTCCTGGCACCCCCACCCCCCCCCCACCATTGTGTGCAGGGCCAGGGAATAGGGGTGGGGGTCTTCCCTACCACTTGTCTTCCTGGACAGCGGAGGGGAAACCACAGACCCCTGGGCACGAAAGCATCTGCGGTCCCCCCTCCCCACCACCAGCTACCGAGTTCTCTAACACTGTGTACACGAGACCCCTAGGACGCACTTGACCCTTCCGGTCAACGCACAAAGTTGCATGGGTGACACCATCATATTTCAGGAACGCCGAAGTAGCGTTGTCCTTTCGAGGGTCTGTCCTTTTGCCGACACCTCTGCTAGTTCTCCAAATGTATTCGTTTGTTCGACAAGCATTTGCTGAGCACCCACGCAGTGGGTGTTGGACTCCCTCTGGGAACAGGTGCGTCCAGGGACACCCTCAGGCCCGGCAGCCCCTGGTCTTGGAGGCGATTTGCCTTTCAGAGAAAGCCAAAGTACTCTGAAAGTGGCAGGGTGTCAGGATGGCAAAGACCCTAGTTTTGAAACAGCTCATGTCAAATATGCGTCTCTGGAGCATTTACTAGGATCCTGGCACGAAGCCTTGCAGGTGTGCCCTTGAGGGGACGGGTGGGGGAGATGGACAGATAAACAAGCCATCTCGCGTGAGAGAGAAGCTCGCTGTGCTGGTGAGGGGTGAGCCAGCCAGGGGTTACTACTGGCCGGGGAGGCAGGGCCAGGTGGCGAGCCCACGGAGGGAGTGGTGCCCACGGCAAGGTTGGATGGCTGTGGTGCTAACATTTCAGGTCCTTCAATCTACTTGGTCAATTCTGAGAAGATCATTATTACCATTTTCATTGATGGGGAAACAGAGGCTCCGAGAGGCCAAAGGAGTCACCTAAAGTCGCACACCCACGGTGCGGCCCGGGGGAGGGAAGAACCCAGGGCGGCAGCCTGCCCGATACCAGGCCCCTTTCATCCGAGCAGCTCACCCGCCATGGGCACACGTCTCGGGCTCAGGCTCTGGACTCCCGGGAGGTCAAAGGGCCCTGACGAGGTTGTGCTCTCGAAGGAAGGAATGCTCACTGCATCTTGCAGCTCAGGTCCGCTAACAGCCCAGGGCCTGCCCCTACAGAGGTCTAGGCCATGTCCCACGGGTCCAGGGCAACCTGTCACTCATCTTCCTGACTTCCTTTGAGACATTTAATAAAACTGACCACTTCCTATGTGTGCATGGATGAACGCATGCATGAACAAATGAATGAATGAATGAATGAATGAATGACCAATCTATCCATTTATCCACCCACCTCTCTTACACACAGTAAAATTCATTCTCTGTGGCGTGTGCTTCTGTGGGTTTTGAAAAAGGCAGGGTTGTGTATCTACCCCCACACCCGAGACAGTATAGTCCCATCACCCCCAAATTCCCTCATCTGCCATTGTGTAGTTAAAGCCTCCCCAGCACCCCAAACTTTGACGGCCACTGGCGTCTCCTTTCCCTGGAGACTGCCTTTCGCAGGATGTCGCATCAATGGAATCGCAGAGTGTGTAGCTTCTGGCACTTAGAAAATGCACTAGGATTTGCCTGCCTGTGGCGGGTCTGCGGGTCCCACCTTCCTGCAGCGGCCTCACTTGGTTTCTTTGACCCCTTTGACTCTCACTTGCCGAGTCTCCCCTAGAGGACCCCTCCTCTGTGGGACCCCCAGATGCTGGTGTCCTTGGGGCACCAGCAGTATATAGAGATGTAGGTGTTGAGAGGCTCTCCCGGCAAGAACGCCCACTCCCTCATCCCCACGCGGGACATTTTTGGATTTGATCACCTCACTTGCAGCTCCTGGTCCTGCAGCCCTTCCTGCAACTTTGTGAGCACCCGAGTCCCCGAATTTCAGTCCTTTTCTGTGCAACACACTGAGAATGGCTCTGGTTTCCTGTTCTAAATGCGGATACCATCACTTTGGGGGGCAGCGCTTCCAACACGGAGGTTGAGGGGCCACCATTCAGTCCATAACATGAGGTCTCTGCGGACGTAAGTAGCTAAGTTAAAATGAGGTTGCACTGGA